CACCTTGACAGAGGCATTTGGATATCAGTCTCACCGTTCATTCCAAACGCTTGCGTTGAGTGAACAAGCTTTGTAAATATTATTTCAGGCGATGTTATCTGGCCCATAAGGTTTTAGTGAACAACAAGTTCGCAGCGGAACGCGTCAGCAAATTATATTTATCACCGTTTCATCTCAAGGCCTTTCATAAATTTGAGGGACAAGGACGTTTTGTCAATCAAAATGCACCTTCCAGTGTATGCATTTGTAATATGCTGCGCACTGCGTCCTAGGATAGATAGTCAAACAGTAATTTATAACCCATGAAATCGGCCAGTACCACCTTGTTGACACCAGATCCAAGAGTTGCACCCTTCATTATCCAGCTGCCTGTGTCCATAGGCTCACCAAACGCATTGTACATTTGAAGCCTACAGTGGTTCCCGGAGTACTCTACCCTACATTCTATCATTATAGACTTCTCTCTAGTACCCTCACAAGACCACATGCGAACCAGACAGTAAATTCCTTTGTTTTGGGCTGTATTTGCCTTCATCTTCAAACGCAACTGTGTTAATGAAAATTAGCAGGGCTTCTTGTTTATGTTTTCAGTAAAGGTCAGCAAATTTTGTTATAAGTGGCGAAAGTGAGGCTTGTTTAGAACCATGTCTTTTTCTGGTTTCCTTAACTTATCCATTCTTAAAAATTTATAGACGCTCACTTAAAGTCTTGCGTTTCCTTAATAGAAACCAACCTAACTTATCCTTATCTACTCCCTGATATCTTCATCGAATCGCTAGGAGTTAATTGAGCTGGGCAACCTAAATGCCAAACGCGACTGGGGTTACGCCGAAGACTACGTCTACGCAATGTGGCTCATGCTACAACAAAAGGAACCAGTTGATTATGTCATTTCATCTGGAGAGACTCACACAGTGCGCGAGTTTGTTGAAAAGTCGTTTGCGCATATTGGCAAAATAATAGTGTAAGTTATTTGTTGCCTGCTTGGTAGAAAATGCCTCCACTCTTTCTTTTTATTCAATAACTAAAGAGCGTTGCAAACTTGCTACTTATGCCAAACATCTATTCCGGGAACGCAGATCCTTTAAAACAAAATTTTTGGACATACGAACTGACTAAACCATATCCGCCAA